ACTACTACTACTACTACTACTACTACTACTACTACTACTACTACTACTACTACAACAGTGGCGTCAGAAGTCGGAACCCTAGTGGTTTCCGGACTCATAATCGGGAGATTGCGGGTTCGGGGGTTCGAACATCAGTTCGGTCTGACGTTGTGTCCTTGGGAAAGCTTTTTTTGCACGAATTTCCCACTTGGGTCGGTCCTTTTGGAGATGGACGTTCATTAAACTCGGAGGCCCGCCTCTTAAATGACTCAACAGTGTTGACAGGGGTGCTAAACATAATTTATGCCATTTACTACTACTACTACTACTACTACTACTACTACTACTACTACTACTACTACTACTACTACTACTACTACTACTTCTACTGCTACTACTAACAGCAACAAAAACAACAACAACAACATCTTGAAACGGGACTGCAAGTGCGTGTATTTCAAAATTTTATGCTTAAGTTTAGCTCAGGGGAGACAATTCGTTGTTTTCGAAATTCGTGACCAAGATGGAGTTACGTCCCCTTTATGTTGTTCTCTTGTAATCATAATATTATATTATTATTCATTTGTGTCCCTGCCGGTCAATATCAGTCATATGAAGGAAATTTCAAAACTGAGTTATCATTATTTTAAAAAACTATCACCTTTTCCCTACAATTTAAAACAAGAATGAAGTAAATATTACCATATTTGACGAAAATACAGAACTTTTAATTGTGCGAGGTGAGGAAAAACGAAAGGGAGAAAATGGCCTCCGAAGTTGAGCAACATGTTTCCATAACAACAGGGGTCTTAGAATCGAGATAGAGACTTGAAATTTAGCAGTTATCTTGGCTATACCACTACAAGGTAATACGGAAGTTGAAAACTATTCATTCACTGAGAAAAAATGGACAAAACAAAATTTCCATGAGAATGGACTTCACGTCAAATGTAACAAAATATTAGCATTATACTAGGTACCAGATACTAAATTTTCAAAGTAGCTGTATGTCAAATTCGTTCTTTTTCATATGAAAGGTCTGTGTCTCCTGAGAATTTTGGTACCATACTTTTACCTCTCAGTCAATGTTTAACAGAATGGCAGCTGTTTCAATTTAACATAATCAAATATTGCTGAAGTCGCTAACTGGCTGCAACCCCATGATTAACAGATAATAATAGAGCACCAAACATCTCTTCATTAACAGAGTACGATGAGTATAACAAAGAAATGAAGCCTAAGACTGTGAGATCATTACAAACCAGTATTTTATTGCCTCAAACGCGATGACCTGTCGTTCGACAAAAACACCGAGCGCTGTCTCGGCCGGCGCCGCACCGGTCCCCGCGGCAAGTGAGTCGGCTCAATGCTGTAGTGTACTGAGAACTCCCCGAAGTTTTGCGGAAGGATTTTTGCAAAACAATTCCAAGCCAAAGACTTTATTCTAAAAGAAAAAGAACTGTTTTATTGGTACTTTTTTTAGCCGGGATTTTACACATTTCGAGTTAAAAATGATCTTTGAAAACTTATACGCCTTTTTTCAAGGTTTTCTATCCAAAACGCCAAAAGGCCAAAAATAATAACCTCGGGAAACCACGCTCAAAACTGTATAGTTCTCTGCCAATGAAAAGACGTATTAAATCATCAATCTTTCTTCAAAGCATTCGAAGGCATAGGTTTCAATATTGAACCTGACGACCCTCGCATTCCGACCGTGAGGGGCATCCCTTTCCACGGCCATTCTCTAGCTCCAAATTCTCGGATATACAAACAACCCAAACTATTGTAACGAAGAAAATCTGAAGTTTCTCAAAGTGTCCAGCATTTGGTGTTTTATAGCAAAAGAGCAAAGGAACAGAGATCTGAATTAACCCCCCTTTCACCGAAATCACGCGCTCGGAAGGGTGCGAGTCGGCTTACGTGCCGTGTTTACGCTACCTAATTATATGTTTGTAATAGCACCATAAACACACGAGAGCACACACTCACACACACACACACACACACACACACACACAC